TGTGTGTGTGTGTGTGTGTGTGTGTGTGTGTGTGTGTGTGAAGCTCCATTTGTGTGAGCAGCAGGTGCCCTCCTCTCACACAAATGGTGCTTCATGCACATGCGCATGAGTCCCTACCACTCTCTTAAGTGGAGCTGCGTGCGTTGAACCATTTCCTCTTCCATTGTTCCACAAAACCAGAAAGGTTAGGGGCCCATTGTCTAGAGCCTGTGGCTTCTAATGTAGCTCTATCGTTTATAGGGGAAACATTACCAATATATACCTAACCTCTCCATTCCAAAGGGTCTTCTCTGTAGCTACATATTGAAGCACAGTTGTTGTTTATGTGACTAGGAATTCCAGATCAGGAAGGGTTTTGCAAATCTGTGAAGATAGCCTCTTGATCATTTTCCTCTGTCACCCAGAACTAAGAATGCGCTGTATCCAGTGATTAGAGGAAGAAAGGCCATAGATCCATAGATCATTCAGAGGACTAACATTTAATGCTATCGGCTTCTGCCTTCTTGATCTCTCTGCTCAAGCTATGTGGTATAAGGATGGTGTCCAGGACTTCAACCTGTCAGACAAATTATATGGCTGGGAACAGTAAGTCTATACAAGAGGACTCATGGCTACTCCTGCACTCCAAAACACTCTGCTTCCAGCCGGGTCAAGATTTCACTATCTTGTGAATGCCCCCTACTCTTATTTTAAAGAGAACTTTTTTTCTAATATCAATTCTTACAGGAGAGGCTTCCAGAAAGAAAATAGGGGAGCGGGAGAGAGGGAGAGAAAAAGGGAGAGAGAGGGGCGGCAGGAAGGAAGGAAGGAAGGAAGGAAGGAAGGAAGGAAGGAAGGAAGAAGGAAGGAATCTTATGTTGCTGACTGCAGGCTCCTCCAGGGGAGAAAGCTACATATTGAGAAAACCAGAGTATGTGCTGTGGGCTGCCTTGTTCTCACATACTATGTACATTCCTGCAACTTAACACCCGCAACTTATTTTCAGAGGAAGAATGCGGAAATTATAAAAACACAAAGCAAAGTCCCTCAATCAATTATTGTATGGGTTGCAGGCAGGATCAGTCAGGTCCCAGGAGTATTATAACAGGATTAGGTCCTGGCTGAACTTCATAAGTGTCTGCTGCTCCTTAGCAGCATAGCATGAAGTGGAAGTGAGCTGATCAGGAATGAAGCAGGGAGACACTTATTTCATCTCCAAAACGTCTCTATGGATGTCATCCATTGGGATTGTGAGCATGTGAGTCTGTGTGCTTGCATGTCTATACCTGATTTGGAGAGTGTAAAATCTCACGTGTTAAGAGTTCTGGAAACTATGTTTCATGTCTCTTAGCTCCCCTGCCTCTTTGTTTTTAGAACTGGAAAAATAATGTATACATTAATTAGGGATGGATTAGTTAATCTATTTCTGGTCCATGGCAGTTCTTCTTAAATATCTATGAATAAGTAAATTAAGAGCCGAGGTGGCGCAGTGGTTAANCCCCCACAGTCTGGGTCCTCATTTCACCCACCTCAGAAGGATGGAAGGCTGAGTCAACCCTGAGCCGGTGAGATTAGAACCGCTGAACTGCAGAAGTAGCAGTCAGCTGAAGTGGCCTGCAGTACTGCACCCTAACCACTGCGCCACCTGGGCTCTGAACCATTGCACCATTTTGGTCTGGTGCAATGGCTTTGTTACAGACATTGCTTGAATCCTCTTTTTTCTATAGATTGCATTGTTTTCCTGCAGGAGGCAACTCCCCAGAGATGAGACCGTCACAGGTGATCACAGAGGCAGCTGGGACAGGTGACTGTGCGGAGATACCAGCATTGATATCCTTCTCTGTGGATGAAGTGGCCGAACAGCTGACTCTGATGGATGCTGTAAGACCTGTTGGGGCCAGGGACTGAAAAATAAGAAAATGGACTGTGGCTATAATGAATAGGGTAGTTCTGAAACTCTTTGGAAATTGGCTTGATGTCAGAACAGGGAACCTGGATCGCAGTCCTGGTAGGGAAACCTTTGGTGGCCATGAGCTACATTTTATGTTGTAAAAAGGGGGCACTAAGGATCATAAAGTGGGTGGGATGGGTGTGGCTGCTGTGGTGGTGAATTTGGGGTGTTCTTTGCTTTGCAATATGCCCATGTGAGGCCTTGGATCTTGAAAACCTGCTCTGAAATCACTGGATGCACTGAATGGTTTTCAAAAGGAAGCTGAGTTCCTTCTTTCCCCTTCCCTCTCCCCAGCACCTGTTTAAAGCAGTGCTGCCTTTCCACTGTCTTGGCTGCGTTTGGTCCCAACGAGACAAGAAGGAGAATCAGCACATGGCTCCCAGTGTCCGTGCTACTGTGACCCAGTTTAATGCAGTCACCAGCTGTGTGATCACATCTGTGCTGGGAGATCTGGCCATGCACATCCCCCAGCGTGCGCACCTGCTGGAGAAGTGGATCCAAATTGCTGGAGTAAGTCAGGAAGAGGGTCATGGTGGGGGGCAGGGGGGAAATGAAGCACGGCTGAGCATGGTGCTAGGGATTGTGTAGGTTATCTCTTGGGAAGCTGTGAGCCAGAGATGTAGTGACTGCCCAGGTGCATTCCTTATTTGTGATTATTTCTTGGCAATGTTTACCACTAATGCCTCTTACAGCCTGTTTCAATTGACATCCCTGAAAGGCTTTTCTTGTTATTTTTCCGCATGAGGTGAATTATTCTCAATTATTGCATGCCTGAGCCTGTACATTTCTGTTCTCCAAAGTAAAGGGGATCCTGAATTTTCTGGATGAATACAAAAAAAAAACACAATAGGGTGGAAAACAGCAAGCAGGAAAATTAAACGTGCTTGATGGGCACAGAATGTATATGGACAATTGCAGGGCAGGCAAAAGCTTCATTGGATAATCAGGAAAGAAAACCATAAGACTCCATTGATAGAAATCAAGTGTACTTTTACNCCAGAATTCCCCAGCCAGCATTCGCTGGCTGGGGAATTCTAGGAGTTGAAGTCCGGACATCTTCAAGTTGCCAAGGTTGAGAAACACTGTTCTAGGATAATGGAATTGTAAACTCCGGCATTTGTCCCCTGTGAAATTTGTAAACTTTCAATATGTATTTATTCAATTTATATGGCCACTCACTTGCCAAGTGGCTAGGTTGAAAATATCAAGTGCAAAAGAAAATGTTAAAACAATAGAACAAAATAAAACAAAACACATTATACTGAGAACTACACACGTAATACCTATATAGCCATGGCCTGGAAAGTGACCCAAATCTTCAAGGTCTTCTTAAAGGCCAAAATTTGACGCCAGCCAAATTTTAGCTGGAAGCTCTTCTATGGAAGAGCTACAATGACAGAGAAGACCTGTCTTCTGGCTTCCATTGAGTGACACTGCTTACTTGATGGGACCTGGGGCATGCCAACCCTGTCACTTAGTGTAGCTTGGACAGAAGATTCCACAACTATCCAGGCCTTGTGCCAAGTAAGGCTTTATAGGTAACCACCACCAGTACCTTAGAATTATACCTAGAAGCCCACTGATAACCAGTATGGCTCACACAGTAGTGGTTATATCTGGACTTAGCAAAGTGCACCCATAACTATTTGTCCTGCTGTCTTCTGGACCAGATCCCAAGACATAGAATCATAGGTTGGAAGAGGCCTTGGAAGACTTCTAGTCCAACCCCTACTCAAGGCAGGAATCATTTCAAGGCACTTCAGTGGCAACCTCTATAAAGCATGTTGCATAGTGTCTTAGGGTAGTGAGACAGAGGGCATATTAATTAATTGTTCATGATCCAAAGAAAACTTTAAAGGGCTGTTTATAACATACTCCCAAAATAAGCCGCAACTGGCACATAATCTCCCAGATGTCCAGAGATTATTGAGGAAGCAAATATTAAAAGCTAGTGTGGAATGAGCGTTTTTGATGCTGGCATTAGCAATAGCAATAGCAGTTAGACTTATATACCGCTTCATTGGGCTTTCAGCCCTCTCTAAGCGGTTTACAGTCTGGGTCCTCATTTCACCAACCTCGGAAGGATGGAAGGCTGTGTCAACCTAGAACCGCTGAACTGCAGATAACAGTCAGCTGAAGTGGCCTGCAGTACTGCACCCTAACCACTGCGCCACCTCGGCTCTANTTCTGGCAGCTTTCCTGCAAATAGACTCTTCCTTGTTAGCGTAGTTCAGTGTAGCTTCATAAAAAGTAATTATTGACCAAAGCATTTGGCCCAAAGAATATCAGGCAACAGCTGACAGTGAAAGACAACATGATTGAAGGACAAATCAGTCCTAAATGTTCAGTTAGAGAGCATAATCCACCAGGCTCCTTTTGATTTATCATGTTGCAAGAATCCACTTCCTTTGTTTGATACGTTTACTGCCTATCTCACACAGAGGCGACTCTGGGTAGGCTTACAAACGTTACCTTTGATTCATCCTTCTTTGTGAGATCTGAACTCCCAGAATTCTTAGCAATAGCCGTGCTTTCACACAATAGCTGCAGCATCCTCACGATCCCAAGATCAAAATTTGGGTGCTTGGCAAATGGCATCTGATCACCATTTCTCACCTTCAGAGCCAGTTCCTGACAAGCAAAGTCAATCGGGGAAGTTGGATTTGCTTAACAACCACATGGTTCAACTGACAATGGGAGTGATTCGGCTTAACAACCATGGCAAAAATGTTGTAAAATTGAGTTAAAACGCTTAACAATTGCCTTGCTTAGCAATGAAAATTCTGGTCCCAGCTGTGAAAGTTGAGGACTACCTTTAGGTACCAGTTTAATGTGAACCTTGATAAGGGAGAGGCAACTTTATTGAGTGAGATGATTAAAGTAGGGACAGTTGAAGGCCAGGAGTGACCTGTGTGGGATGAGAGTATCCCCATGGCTTGGGGTGAGTGTGGGTCTGGAGCTGATTGTATTTCTTTTCTCATTGCAGGGCAATCCTCCATCTATTGGAGCAGTGGCTTCAGCATCACCTTGAGGATTTCTGGGAACCTCCAGAGTACCCTAATCTACACAAAATATTATGTTTCCTTCATCAATCTGCTCCTAACTCCCCAGCGTGTGCTTTGGCAAAGGGATTGTTACAAGCCTACAAAGCAAAGGAGGCAGATGGTGAGAATAATTTAGGACCAAAATTGCCAAGCAGGACCGATCTTCTCAGAGTTTCTAGTTTGGACCAAACCATTCTGACTTCTGCTCCCATCAATATGCTACTGTTCTCACGTAGAGGGTGTTGCTTTCCTATCCCATGCATCTGACATGTCTGGCTTGATCCAGCTCCCTGAAGCCCAAATCCAGTTCCTCACTGGCTAAATTAATTCAAATTAATTGACCCATACAAGCTACACTTGAGTATACCTGTCTGCCCACATAGAAAACTATGTAACTGCACTATTATTATTATTTTTGGCAATAGCCAAACAGATGCTATCATCCAACAACATCAGTTTGGGAACAGAAGAACCAAAATTTGTGGTCCAAATAAATAGCAATAGCACTTAGACTTATATACTGTTGTACAGTGCTTTACAGCCTTCTCTCAGCTGTTTACAGAGTCAGCATATTGCCCCCAACAACAATCTGGGTCCTCATTTTACCAGCCTCGGAAGGATGGAAGGCTGAGTCAACCTTGAGCTGGTGAGAATCGAATAGCTCAGTGGTTCCCCAAGCTCTGCTGGCTGGAGAATTCTGGGAGTTGAAGTCCACAAGTCTTAAAGTTGCCAAGTTTGGGAACCACTGGAATAGCTGAACTGCTGACAGCTGGCCGTCAGCAGAAGTAGCCTGACCACAGCTCTTAATAAATGCATTTGTTAGTACTACATATGCAACATTACAAATTATAGCCTAGGCACTCAAATCAACAGGGTTGCACAGATTTTGCAAAAGTCTCTCAGCTCAAAGGAACAGAATATTACCGGTGTCTGCCTGCTTACCTGTGTAATCCCAGGAGGGGACAGGCACCAGGTTGGTCTGAGCTGAAATTATCTATCTGCCCTTCTGCTTATCAACCCAGGGTATCATCCAGCTCACACTTAAGCCTCTTTTGAAATTGCTGTTATTTGTCTCTCTACAACAGCCTTTTCTAAACTGGTGCCTCTCAGATGCTGAGGCTGAAACTCCCATCATCTCAGCCCATCATCTAGTGATGCGCTGGTAGGAATAAGGAACATTATCTTGTCGTTCCCTGCTGCCAGAAGAGGTGGTAAATTGACACCTCTGGGGGGCACAGAATGAGGTGGTAAAATTTTGAACTGTACCTCTTTCTGTTGGAGGGGAGAAGGGGTTTGACCTGCTTTTTAAAATGTTCCTTTTTATAAAAGACTGTCTATATGTAGCAGACTAAAACACCAGGAAAAGGTTGTTACTGTGTTCGCTGGAGCTACTGTATTTAAACAGACCCCGAAGTTTCCCCACATCTGTGATTAAGCAGGGGGGGGGGGCATTTAGCAATAAAGGGTAGGCAGGCCTGCTATTTCCACGAAGGAAATTTCAAATTGCAATCCTTTCCCTTCGCCGAAGCAAAAAGGCATGCATGTTCTTGCCAGCTTAGTTATAAACGATAAGAATTGTAGTGGGCTGGCAAAGGCAGCTTTAGGCAACGAGATAAAAGCTCTTTAATTCTGAATCTAGCTAGTCCTCTTGGTTTATTTGGGTATAGAATGGAAAGAGTATCCTCTGTTCTATTCTCTAAGAAAGACCATTCTGATCCCGGGATGAAGAAAATGGCAGGAAGAGGGGTGATGTTGGCTGCCAAATATGCCACAATCTCTTTTCACATCAGAATGCTGGTTCTGTAACCAGAGGAGGAGGAGGA